GGGGGGGGAGTGGTTGGAGGGTGGAGCTGAGGGAGCAAGCGGGCCGAGGGACTCTGGGGTCGGCTTGTGAATTCCCTGGCACTGCTTGCACTCAGCGCTGTGCGCCCGAGCGCCGGGCCGAAGCTGCGGTCTTGCAAACATTGCATGTAATTTTGGGGCACCTCGTCCCCGCGTCATCCCCGTAGGGCATCAACCGGATGGGTTTCGTGTGCGTACCGCTGTATGACACGCTGGGGGACGCGGCGGTGGCGTACGTCGTAGACCACGCTGAGGTGAGTAATGGCATGAGTCACCGCGTGAGTCACGGCACCGGCTCGATGAGGGCGACGGGGGCGCCGCGGCGCGCACTCGCACCTGGTGACGCCCAAAACCGCCGGACGGCCGCACCCCCTACCGGCGGGTGGCGCGGGCTGCGCGCCCAACGCACGGCGGCGGCAGCTAGCTTGCAGCGCCGCGCCGGCTGCGATGGCCCGCAGACCGCTCTTGGGGCTGCTTGCTGCCCCAGGGCTCCACGTGTGCGTTTGCGCAGCCAAACTGCACAGCGACAGCCCCAGCTGGGCACAGCGACAGCCCCAGCCTGCTACACCCCCACCCACGGTCTTGCCTCGACCCTACGACCCCCACACATGAATCTATTGTGATTCGCGCCGCGCGCCCCAGGTGCGTGTCGTGCTGTGCAGCCCCTCAAAGCTGCGGGAGGTGGCCAAGACTGCGGCCAGGCTGGCGGAGGGTGGCGCGGGGCGGCTGCAGGCGGTGGCGTACTGGGGCCGGCCCGACGCAGACGCCGTGAAGGTGCGCGTACGGTCTGTTTTATTCCGTTTGGCGTGGGCGTTTTGCAATAGCGGGGCGTGTGTGGCCTTCTTTTGTGGCTGCTGGCTCGGCGTGTCGGCGGCTGTGATTGACGCGCTGCGCAGGCCGGGCGCAGCGCGTCGATCACAACCATTGGCGTGGGGCTCTCTCCACCAGCGGCTCGCATGGGCAGGTGTGGCGGCCCGCTGTCAGAGGCGCGCTCTGGGCCCTTGCGGAGCTTTGCGCGTGTGCGGCCGCCGCGCGGCGTGTGCCACTGCCCGTGGCATCCGGCCGCGCAGCCGTTCACTTGAGGCCCATCCAGGGCTTCTTGACAGCCTGCAGACTCCCCGAGATCCCTCAACCCGCTGCGCCCATCCCCACAAAAAGCCGTGCGCCCCTCCTCCCCCGCAGGCGATAGAGGCGTCGGTGCCCAAGGTGCTGACGTGGCGCGACCTGCTCGCGGCGGGCGCGGCCGCGCCGTGCGCCCCCGAGGCGCCGCGGCCGGACACCCTGTGCACCATCATGTACACCAGCGGCACCACAGGCGCGGCCGCTGCCCCTGCAGCATCTGATTTGTCGACCCACAACCGCCCTTCGCTGTCTGCTTCTTGGGAGTGCGGGGGGCGCGTCGCGGCGGCGCGCCCCTGTGCTGGGGCTAACTTGTTGCGGCTTGCCCCCTCAGTGCCCAATGCGCCTCTTCCTACAGTCAAGCACTCAGCAGCTGTCCGATCTAAGCCTGCAACCAGCCTCCGCGCCCTTCCCAAGTCACTCCAGACCGCTCCTAACCGCCACCGCTCCTCAACCCCATTGCGTGGGCCAGCTTTTTGCTCATGCCCCTTTCGGCTCCCTCATCATTCAATCCCTCACCCGCCTCCGTCCCTGACCCCAACACCCC